GTGTACAGGTGCTTGTACAGGCGTGTGTGTGTGGGGAGTGGTGGTGCAGTGGTTAGAGCACTCACGGCCACCACCATCACCCAGTGACAGCGATTATCTGAAGCGGTCCTGGGCCTCCCCTAGGTCGACTCAGCCTCAAGTGAATTACCTGGTGCTGTGGTAGTGGTGGTGTAGTAGTGGTGCTATGGTAGTGGTGTTGGTGTAGCGCTAGTGGTGGTGTAGCGGTGGTGGTAGTGTAGTGGTGTAGTGGTGGTGGTGTAGTGGTGGTGGTGTAGTGGTGGTGGTGTAGTGAACATCGTTAGCACTGGGGGAGAGACAAATGCGGCCGGGCGTGGTGCTGCCCACCCACCCCCTCTGTGTGTGCCACAGTGCCGGTAGCCTTCATAGAAGCTGCTACTACTAACAGCACTTGCCCCTACAGCCCTGCTAGAGGCTACCTGGGGGAGCTTTGTCTGTGTGTGTGGTGTGTGTAGTACATAGACACTGCTGCTACTACTACCAGCACTTGCCCCTACAGCCCTGCCAGAGTCTACCTGGGGGAAGCTTTGTCTGTGTGTGGTGTGTGTAGTACATAGACACTGCTGCTACTACTACCAGCACTTGCCCCTACAGCCCTGCTAGAGTCTACCTGGGGGAAGCTTTGTCTGTGTGTGGTGTGTGTAGTACATAGACACTGCTGCTGCTACTCGCTACTAACAGCACTTGCCCCTACAGCCCTGCTAGAGGCTACCTGGGGGAGCTTTGTCTGTGTGTGTGGTGTGTGTAGTACATAGACACTGCTGCTACTACTAACAGCACTTGCCTCTACAGCCCTGCTAGAGTCTACCTGGGGGAGCTTTGTCTGTTGTTGCCGAACGTTGTGGTGAGCAGTGCCGTGAGGGGAGAGGGCCAATTCCGATTGGCCCTCCCCCCTCATGGCGTCTGTGACCACCACAGCGGCTAAATGTGGACTCTGGACGGGTGCAAGGGGCTGATAACCCCTGCACCTTCAACTAACTACCACTAAACTACGATTAAAAACATTTAATTAAGCTTGTGCCGGAGGCCCCGGGGGGACAGGAGTCTATGACGTCTCCTGGCCAAACCCCAATTGGCGGAGCCAGGAGATTGAATCTCTACCCTCGGGGCTCCTCCAGAAACAACGAAAAGCCACTTCGTGTGGCCACGTGGAATGTTCGAACGCTCACTGCGGAGGAGAGGCTGCCACTCCTCTGTCGGGAGCTGGCCCGGTGCCGCCTGGATCTCTGTGGCATTCAGGAGGTCCTGTGGACCGGTTCTGGCTCCTGCCACCATGAGGGGTGGACAGTCCTCTACTCGGGGCAGCAGACTGCCAAACAACAGGGTGTGGCTCTTCTTCTGAACAAAATAATGAAGGGGGCGTGGGAGTGTGGCGGTGAGGTGTGGGAAGCTGTAAGCCCCAGGCTACTTTGGGCTCGCCTTCCCATCAACCGGAGGCGAGGAATGGTGGTCGTGATTACTTATGCCCCCACCGAAGACGATCTGTAGTGGAGGGATGCAGGCAAAGCCGATGAGTCAGATGCTTTCTATGACCTCCTGTCACAGGTGCTGGCTAAAGTGGACCCTCGGGATAGAGTCATCATGTTGGGTGACTTCAATGCCCGAGTTGGTCATGATGCTGGCACGTGATCTGGAGTGATTGGAGGGCATGGGCCAGATCAGCTCAATAACAACGGTAGGAGGCTGCTAGATTTTTGTGCAGCCCTTGGGCTTGTAATTATCAACACGCTGTTCCGGTATCGGCGCATCCACACAACATCATGGATGTATGCCGGGTCCAAGCAAGAACATCTGCTGGACTACATAGTGACGGACCAGCGGATGCAAGCCCATGTCCTTGACAGCAGGACCTACCGTGGAGCTGATCTGCCCTCTGACCATCGACTTGTCATCTGTAAGATGCGCCTGCCATTCTTCCGCTCCGGTGGTGGGTGTACACCCAGGACCCCATTCCAACCTTAAGTGGCCTGGTCTCAGCTAGCTGATGAAAGTTGCAAGCGAGAATTTCATCATCGCTTGCGGCTGGGGTTGGCATCGTCCCCCACTCCTCCTGATGTCGAGGGTAAATGGGCCAGGTTTAGGACTGTGACTCATGTAGCTGCAATGGCTGCTTTGGGTACGAGGTCCAGACCTCCCCAGAGACCCTGGCTGACAGAGGAGCTGTTCAGGCGGCTGAGAAAAAGCGACAACCCCACTCTCATCGTACACAGCATCCCACGTCAGAGAATGAGGCTTACCGCAGCCTTCGCTCGGAGGTTCGGAGAGCCGTGAGGCGCTGCAAGGATGGGTGGTGGTCGCTGGTTGCTGAGGAGATGGAGTCTGCCTCATTGACCCGCGATCACAAATCGCTCTCTGATTCCATAAAAAAAAGTAACCTGCAGCGCCACACCTATTACTATCATTAGGGGAAAAAACGGTGTTCCAATCTCCGACCCCCAGGAACAGGTTTGCAGATTTGCTGAGCATTTCTGTGAGGTCCTGGGTGAGGGGAAATCCCTCAGCCAGGAAAACATCGTGGCACAAAGTGAGGATGACCCTGCTGAGGCTGCGGTGCCTCAAATATTGGAAGAAGTCACCCCCTGTGAGTGGCTGGCTGAGGTGCCATCTGTTGAAGAAGTACTGAAGGCGATCCAGAGTCTGAGACCAGGAAAGGCAGCGGGTAGAGATGATCTCCCAAGCGAAATCCTGAGGGAGGGTGGCGTTTGTGCACAGACTGCCCTATATGACATCATAACAACAGTCTGGACCACTGGACGGGTTCCGCAGGATTGGAAGGATGCCCTGGTGGTCCCCCTCTTTAAGAAGGGGGACCGCACAGACAGTAACAACTACAGGGGCATCTCACTCCTCGGGAAAGGTCAACATCGCCTTGCTAGGCACGTTGAGGAGAGGCTTGCGGAGCCCCAATGTGGCTTCAGGAAAAGGCGGTCCTGCACAGATGCCATATTTTCTGTACGTCTGCTACAGCAGAGGTGTAGGGAATTCCAGCAAGACCTACATCTCTGCTTTATTGACCTGGTCAAGGCCTATGATACCATCAGTAGGCCTGGGCTATGGGTTGTTCTTCGTGCTTTTGGAGTACCTGACCCTCTGCTCACGATCATTAAGGACCTTCATGATGGTGAGCGGGCCCGGGTAAAACTACGTGGCCGGGAGTCAGAGCCATTCCCTGTACACCTTGGGGTGCGAGAGGGATGTCCTCTGGCTCCCACATTATTTAACATCTATTTCGACCACGTAGTTCGTGCAGCCTTCAAAAGCTGTACCGGGGGAATCTCCATATGGTACAGATATAATGGGAGGCTGATTGATGCCCGGGTGCGGTCAAGGGATGGCTCCCTATTGCTCAACCACGTTATGTATGCTGATGATTTGGTAATAGCTGCTCATTCAGAGGAGGAGTTGGAGATGCTGCTGCTAAACCTGGAGATTGCCACTAATAGGTGGGGCCTTACCATCAGCCCCCACCAAAACTAAGCACCTACCCTGGTATTTTGTACCATCGGACACTCCACCCCCATAACTCCCAATTGGTGATAAGTCATTTGTGGAGAGAGTGGAGAGTTTCCCATACCTGGGCAGTGTGCTTATGACTGGCTCCGGTTTGACAGCAGAGGTCTCACTCCGAATCAGTCGAGCGGCAATATCTTTTCATCGGTTGCGTAACGCTGTGTGGAAGCTACCTGGTCTGTCGCTCCGCACTAAGCTTCAGGTCTTCTCGGCCACGGTCATTCCCTCCCTTCTCTACGCTTGCGAAACGTGGACCCCCCTAATGGAGCATCTTCGCCGGTTAGAAACATTTAGGCTGGCCTGCCTACGATCCATCCTGGGTTCAACCAGGCTGGATTGTGTGAGGAGCTCACAAATCCTTGAAAGATCTGGGCAAGGTCCCATCGGTGAGCTCCTCCGGCGGGCAAGGCTGCGTTGGCTGGGTCATGTAGCCCGTATGCCCAGCCACCGCATGCGGAAACAGCTTTTGTTCGGCCGGATCAAGGGGGCTAAACGGGCGCGGCACGGGCTAGAGAAGAGATGGAGTGATGTGGTACAGGAGGACGTGGAGCTGAGTGGACTTGCCGATGACCGGTACCAGCAGTGTCAAGATCGGCCTCTGTGGAGGAGGCTCGTGAAGGACGCTACTGGGCAGTTGGAGGCAGTCGCCCTCCAACAACAACGGAGGGCGGAGGAGCGACGCTCACAACAACGAGCGGAGCGCCGGGTGGCTAAAGCACAGCGGGTTGGCACAGTAGGGGGCACAGGTGGTGCATCAGCCACTCGTCTCAGTCAGTCGACCCGTGGCACCTGCTGAGTCTGCCCCGTGACCTCCTGCCAGCGGGCGTTCGACACTTCACGTAGCCTCAAGGTGCACCTAGCCTGGCACAAGCGTCCTGGTGACGTCACCGCCACTTAGTGGTGAATGGCGGTTGTTGTTATTCTTGTTGTAGTACATAGACACTGCTGCTACTAGTAACAGCACTTGCCCCTACAGCCCTGCTAGAGGCTACCTGGGGGAGCTTTGTCTGTGTGTGGTGTGTGTAGTACATAGACACTGCTGCTGCTACTCGCTAGCTATCAGCACTTGCCCCTACAGCCCTGCTAGAGGTTACCTGGGGAGCTTTGTCTGTGTGTGGTGTGTGTGGAGTACATAGACACAGCTGCTGCTACTCGCTACTATCAGCACTTGCCCCTACAGCCCTGCTAGAGGCTACCTGGAGGAACTTTGTCTGTGTGTGTTCTACTTCTTGGTGATGGCGAGTTTCAACTCCATTTGTTCTCGAAGCTTGAACTTCTGAATCTGAGGGAGACAAAGAGGGGTGAGTGAGTGGGTGAGTGGGTGGGTGGGTGAGTGGTTGAGTGAGTGGGTGGGTGAGTGGGTGAGTGAGTGAGTGGGTGGGTGAGTGAGTGGGTGGGTGAGTGAGTGAGTGAGTGTGTAAGTGAGTGAGTGGTGAGTGAGTAGGTGAGTGAGTGAGTGGGTGAGTGAGTGAGTGGGTGAATGAGTGAGTGGTGAGTGAGTGAGTGGGCGAGTGAGTGGGTGAGTGAGTGAGTGAGTGGGTGAGTGAGTGAGTGAGTGGGTGAGTGAGTGAGTGAGTGGGTGAGTGAGTGAGTGGGTGAGTGAGTGAGTGGTGAGTGAGTGAGTGGGTGAGTGAGTGGGTGAGTGAGTGGGTGAGTGAGTGAGTGGGTGAGTGAGTGGGTGAGTGGGTGAGTGAGTGAGTGGGTGTGTGGGTGAGTGAGTGAGTGAGTGGGTGAGTGAGTGTGTGAGTGGGTGGGTGAGTGGTGAGTGGGTGAGTGAGTGATTGAGTGGGTGGGTGAGTGAGTAAGTGAGTGAGTGGGTGAGTGAGTGGGTGAGTGGGTGAGTGGGTGGGTGAGTGGGTGAGTGGGTGGGTGGTGAGTGAGTGAGTGGGTGGGTGGTGAGTGAGTGAGTGGGTGAGTGGTGAGTGAGTGAGTGGGTGGGTGAGCGGGTGAGTGGGTGAGTGGGTGGGTGAGTGAGTGAGTGGGTGGTGAGTGAGTGGTGAGTGAGTGAGTGAGTGGTGAGTGAGTGAGTGGGTGAGTGGTGAGTGAGTGGGTGAGTGAGTGGTGAGTGAGTGGTGAGTTCGTCACCTTCCCCGTCACGGTCAGTGGGAAGGAGTCCACCACCACCACGTAGCGTGGCACCTTGAAGTGAGCCACCTGGGGGTGGGCAAACATCACACACAGACAAAGCTCCCCCAGGTAGCCTCTAGCAGGGCTGTAGGGGCAAGTGCTGTTAGCTGGCGAGTATCAGCAGCAGTGTCTATGTACTACACACACCACACACACAGACAAAGCTCCCCAAGGTAGCCTCTAGCAGGGCTGTAGGGGCAAGTGCTGTCTCTCTGTCATGAATATTAACGAGGTGGGTGTTGCTTCACCACGTCATGAATATTAACGAGGTGGGTGTGGCTTCACCAGGCCATGAATAATAACGAGGTGAGCGTGGCTTCACCACGTCATGAATATTAACGAGGTGGGTGTGGCTTCACCACGTCATGAATATTAACGAGGTGGGCGTGGCTTCACCAGGTCATGAATATTAACGAGGTGGGTGTGGCTTCACCACATCACGAATATTAACGATGTGGGTGTGGCCTACATACTCATGAATATTAATTAAGTGGGTGTGGCCCACCCCCCCCCTGTGTGTGGCCCCACCCACCATGAATGATAACGAGGTGGATGTGGCTCCGACCCTCATGAATATTAACGAGGTGGGCGTGGCCTAGACCCCCCCTAATGAATATTAATCACCTTGTCTTGGCAGAAGGCGCGGACGTCATCCGGGGTGAGCTCAGAGCCCAACTTGAGTCGAACGCAGGCACACAGCTCCTCTCCCATCCTAGCATCACTCACTCCCACCACCTACATCATCATCACCACCATTAACATCACCTGTATCATCATCACCATCATTAACATCACCACACAGGCACACAGCTCCTCTCCCATCCTAGCATCACTCACTCCCACCACCTGTATCATCACCATTAACATCAACATCATCATCATCACTCACTCCTAGCATCACTCACTCCCACCACCTGTATCATCATCACCATCATCACCATCATCACCATCATCACCATCATCATCATCACTCAGGCACACAGCTCCTCTCCCATCCTAGCATCACTCACTCCCACCACCTACATCATCATCACCACCATTAACATCATCATCATCACTCAGGCACACAGCTCCTCTCCCATCCTAGCATCACTCACTCCCACCACCTGTATCATCATCACCACCACCACCATTAACATCACCTGTATCATCATCACCATCATTAACATCATCACCATCACACAGCTCCTCTCCCATCCTAGCATCACTCACTCCCACCACCTGTATCATCATCATTAACACCATCATCATCACTCACTCCTAGCATCACTCACTCCCACCACCTGTATCATCATCACCACCATTAACATCATCACCATCACACAGCTCCTCTCCCATCCTAGCATCACTCACTCCCACCACCTACATCATCACCATTAACATTAACATCACTCACTCCCACCACCTGTATCATCATCACCACCACCACCATTAACATCACCTGTATCATCATCACCATTAACATTAACATCACCACACAGTCACACAGCTCCTCTCCCATCCTAGCATCACTCACTCCCACCACCTGCATCATCATCACCATTAACATCATCTACATCATCACCATCACACAGCTCCTCTCCCATCCTAGCATCACTCACTCCCACCACCTGTATCATCATCACCACCATCACCACCATCATCTACATCATCATCACCACCACCACACAGGCACACAGCTCCTCTCCCATCCTAGCATCACTCACTCCCACCACCTGTATCATCATCACCACCATTAACATTAACATCATCACCATCACCATTAACATCACCTGTATCATCATCACCATCATTAACATCACCACACAGTCACACAGCTCCTCTCCCATCCTAGCATCACTCACTCCCACCACCTGCATCATCATCACCACCATTAACAATAACATCACCTGTATCATCATCACCATAATTAACATCACCACACAGGCACACAGCTCCTCTCCCATCCTAGCATCACTCACTCCCACCACCTGTATCATCATCACCATTAACATTAACATCACCACACAGTCACACAGCTCCTCTCCCATCCTAGCATCACTCACTCCCACCACCTACATCATCATCACCACCATTAACATCATCATCATCACTCACTCCTAGCATCACTCACTCCCACCACCTGTATCATCATCACCATCATCACCATCATCATCATCACTCAGGCACACAGCTCCTCTCCCATCCTAGCATCACTCACTCCCACCACCTGTATCATCATCACCATTAACATTAACATCACCTGTATCATCATCACCATCATTAACATCACCACACAGTCACACAGCTCCTCTCCCATCCTAGCATCACTCACTCCCACCACCTGCATCATCACCATCACCACCATTAACATCACCACCATTAACATCATCATCACCATCACACAGCTCCTCTCCCATCCTAGCATCACTCACTCCCACCACCTACATCATCATCACCATTAACATCAACATCACCATCATCACACAGTCACACAGCTCCTCTCCCATCCTAGCATCACTCACTCCCACCACCTGCATCATCACCATCACCATTAACATTAACATCACCACCATTAACATCATCATCACCATCACACAGCTCCTCTCCCATCCTAGCATCACTCACTCCCACCACCTACATCATCATCACCACCATTAACATCATCATCATCACTCACTCCTAGCATCACTCACTCCCACCACCTGTATCATCATCACCACCATTAACATTAACATCATCACCACACAGTCACACAGCTCCTCTCCCATCCTAGCATCACTCACTCCCACCACCTACATCATCATCACCATTAACATTAACATCATCATCATCACCATCATCATCACCATCACACAGCTCCTCTCCCATCCTAGCATCACTCACTCCCACCACCTGCATCATCATCACCATTAACAATAACATCATCATCATCATCACCACCACCACCATCATCTACATCATCACCATCATCACCATTAACATCACTCACTCCCACCACCTGCATCATCATCACCATTAACAATAACATCATCATCATCACCATCATCACCATCATCATCATCACTCAGGCACACAGCTCCTCTCCCATCCTAGCATCACTCACTCCCACCACCTGCATCATCATCACCATTAACATTAACATCACTCACTCCCACCACCTGTATCATTATCATTAACACCATCATCATCACTCACTCCTAGCATCACTCACTCCTACCACCTGCATCATCATCACCACCATTAACATCACTCACTCACTCCCACCACCTGCATCATCATCACCATCACCACCATCATCTACATCATCATCATCATCACACAGTCACAGAGTTCCTCTCCCATCCTAGCATCACTCACTCCCACCACCTGCATCATCATCACCACCATTAACATCACTCACTCCCACCACCTGCATCATCACCATCACCATCACTCACTCCCACCACCTGCATCATCATCACCACCATTAACATCACTCACTCACTCCCACCACCTGCATCATCACCATCACCATCACTCACTCCCACCACCTGCATCATCATCACCACCATTAACATCACTCACTCACTCCCACCACCTGCATCATCATCACCACCATCACTCACTCCCACCACCTGTATCATCATCATTAACATCACCACTCACTCCCACCATCTGCATCATCATCACTCACTCTCAATCTACATCATCAACATCATCATCAACATCATCACCACCATCACCATCACTCACTCCCACCACCTGCATCATCATCATCATCACCATCACCATCACTCACTCCCACCACCTGTATCATCATCATCATCATCATCACCATCATCTACATCACCACACAGTCATCACCTACATCACCATCATCATCTACATCATCATCTACATCATCATCACCACACAGTCACAGAGTTCCTCTCCCATCCTAGCATCACTCACTCCCACCACCTGCATCATCATCATCAACATCACCACCAACATCACCATCATCATCAACATCATCACCATCATCACCACAGTCATCAGCAACATCATCACCATCATCATCACCACCATCATCATCATTATCACCTACATCATCCTCAACATCATCGCCATCATCACCACAGTCATCACCACCATCGATGATGTTGACGATGATGATGATGATGTTGATGATGATGATGTTGATGATGATGTTGATGATGATGATGTTGATGACGATGATGACGTTGATGACGATGATGATGTTGACGATGATGATGATGTTGACGATGATGATGATATTGATGATGTTGATGATTATGATGATGTTGATGATTATGATGATGTTGATGATGTTGATGATGATGTTGATGATGGTGATGATGATGCTGATGATGATGATGATGTTGATGATGTTGATGATGATGTTGATGATGATGATAATGATGATGATGTTGATGATGTTGATGATGACGATGATGATGATGATGATGTTGATGATGTTGATGATGACGATGTTGATGACGATGTTTATGATGACGATGTTGATGACGATGATGTTGATGACGATGTTGATGATGATGATGTTGATGATGTTGATGATGTTGATGATGCTGCTGATGATGTTGATGATGATGTTGATGATGCTGATGATGATGTTGATGATTATGATGTTGATGACGATGTTGATGACGATGATGACGATGTTGATGATGATGCTGATGATGATGTTGATGACGATGTTGATGACGATGTTGATGATGATGTTGATGATGATGATGATGATGTTGATGAGGATGATGTTGATGATGTTGTTGATGTTGATAATGTTGATGATGATGTTGATGATGTTGATGATGATGTTGATGATGTTGATGATGATGATGATGATGACAATCATCAACATTATCATCATCATCATCAAAATCGTCATCAACATCATCATCAACATCATCACCATCATCATCATCATCGGCATCAACATCATCATCAACATCATCATCAATATCATCATCATCATCATCAACATCATCAACATCATCATCAACATCATCATCAACATCATCATCAATATCATCAACATCATCAACATCATCATCAACATCATAATCATCATCATCGACAACATCATCATCATCATCATCAACATCATCATCAACATCATCATCATCATCATCAGCATCATCAACATCATCAAAATCGTCATCAACATCATCATCAACATCATCATCAATATCATCATCATCACCATCATCATCAACATCACCATAATCAACATCATCAGTAGCATCATCAACTTCATCAGCATCAGCAGTAGCATCATCATCAGCATCTTCATCATCATCATCATCGGTAGCATCATCAGCATCATCATCATCGGTAGCATCATCATCATCATCAGCAGCATCATCAACATCATCAGCAGTAGCAGCATCATCAGCATCATCATCATCATCAGTAGCATCATCATCATCAGTAGCATCATCATCAGCAGTAGCATCATCAGCATCATCATCATCATCAGGAGCAGCATCATCAGTAGCATTATCATTATCATCAGCATCATCATCAGCAGGTGGTGATGATGGTGATGATGGTGGTGGTGATGGTGATGATTATGGTGGTGGTGGTGGTGATGATGGTAATGGTGATGATGGTGATGGTGATGATGATAATGATGATGGTGTTGATGATGATGATAAT